CTGTGAACATGCCTAGCACAGTTTCTACCACAATGTCATTTTTAGAGTGCTTAAAATTTAATGGAGAAAACTGTAATCTCTAATATATAGCAATACAATAAAACAGATATATTCTAGAGATGGGTGAGAGTGATAGTATGGTAAATTTTATGTTTGTGTTTACTACAATTTTTTAAAAAAAACAAAAACAGTTGTATGGCTTTTCAGTGATTATACCCTGAATAATGAAAAGAATTCCAAAGAAACTTTTGGTTTCTCAGGATAGATCTAGAGCCAAGAATAAACTCCAGCGGAAAGTTTTTGGCTCAACACGAGGAAAAATGTTTTAAAACTTCACTATAGTCTGGCCGGTGTGGATCAGTGGTTCAGCATTAACCCATGTACCAAGAGGTTGCTGGTTCAATTCCCAGTCAGGGCACATGCATTGATGTTTCTATCTCTCCCTCTCTCTCTCACATCAATAAAACATAGTTTTAAAAACTGTATTAAAAAATATAAACCTTTCCTACAGAATCGCACTATTGATGAGAGTGTTTGTGGCCTATGAGATTAACAAATGATATACTACAAACATACTTTGGAATAGCATGTATCAAAGAAGTGTGCTTAGCTTTGTAAGATACTCATGACAGTGGTATTAAGTAGAGAAAAAGCAGGTTGCAGAACAGCATGGTGGAATCTCATTTTTAAATTATGTGTATCTGGTCATCTGTTTAAATACTTGTAGGTATTTATTTAGAAGTCTGTTTGCCAAAATATGGTTGGTACATTTAGAGAGTTATTGATTTCTTTGTATACTTCAAGGATGTGTTACATGTGTGAACAGAAAATCCACCTCACACACAGAAAATTAATATAAAATGTTGAATTCTAACAGGAAGGTGAAATGGCTTCCTTGGATAATCTCTCAATTAAAGGTATTTTAGTAGTTGCCATGGGAATGTTGTAGGATATTGAACTCCATAACCTTCAAGGCCATTAATTCCAGGCCAGGTTGTTACTTTACTCAGTGTGTGCGTGTGTGTGTGTGTGTGTGTGTGTGTGTGTGTGTGTGTGTAAGAATTGTGGTAAAAAAAGAAAAATTGTGGTGTAAGAAATAAATACTTGGTTTCTGTTCTAGTTTCTGTTACAAAGTGCCCAAAAACCTTAGCATTTCCTGAGTGGTAGGAGTCTCTTGCTATATTTAAAAAATAATTTAAAATTTTTTCAGTTACAGTTGACAAATAACATTGTATTAGTTTTGGGTATACAACACACTGATTAGATATTTATATAACTTAGGACAGTGATTTTCAACCAGTGTGCCACAAGAATTTTTAAAACATGCAATACCTGACTATTTAGTCAGGGGCATTGACCTCTTTTCCCTTAGATTGTGAAAACTAAATTTAAAAAAGACAATAGCCAATACAACAGTAGCCATTCAGTGTTAATGAATCAAAAAATTTTTGTCAGGTCAGCAAAAATTACATTTCTTGGTTTGCTGCAAAATTTTAGTAGTTAGTTTGTGTGTCATGAGATAAAGTTGAAAATCACTGACTTAAGAAATGATCACCTGGTAAATCTAGTATCCATCTGACACCATGCATAATTATTACAAAGGAGTCTATTGCTATTTATAAGGAGTTCCTTTGGGGCACACCTTAGTTTAGGGTAAGGAGGTGACTTAAGGGGCCCCTAGATATAGCCTCAGGATGAGGCTGGTCTCCAGAAAGACCAGACACTTGATTAGAGAGTTAGAACTTTCAGTTCCACTAACCCGCAGATAGGGGATTGAGCTCTATAAAAAGTTTTGGAAAAGCCTATAAAAAGCTCTTGATCTGATCAACTTCCAGGTTGGTGAACATATTGATGCCACCCAGAGACAACATGGAAGCTCTGTCCTCCCTCTCACCTTGCCATATGCATTTCTTCCATTTGTTCTGAGTTCTAGCCTCTATAGTAAACCAGTAATCTATATATATAAAAGCCTAATATGCTAAGTGTCTGACCGTTCGACTGGTAGCTATGATGCGCACTGACCACCAGGGGTGCAGACACTCAATGCACAGGCATGGAAACATGGAACAGACTGATGAATCTCAGGGGGAAGCCGGAAGAGATTAACCAAAGATCTTATATGCATACTAGAGGCCGGGTGCATGATGCACAGATTCATGCACCTGTGGGGTCCCTTGGCCTGGCCTGCAGGAATCGGGCCGAAACCAGCAATCCGACATCCCCCGGGGGCTCCTGGATTGCAAGAGGTTGCAGGCCAGGCTGAGGCACCCCACTGGTGCACAAATCAGTGCACTGGGCCTTTAGTAGTAAATAAAGCACTTACCTGAATTTAGTGAGTCATTCCAGCATATTATCAAACCTGTGTAGAGGGTTGTGGAATCCCCACATTTATAGTCAACAAATTTATTTATAAGGGACTCCTTATAAGTAACAAGTAGCCTGGGTACTCATAGCACTCATATTACTGGTGCCCAAAGTGAGGATAGTCTTGTGGCACTGAGCCCTCAGTCACATCCCTCAAACCTGTGGAGTCTAACACTACCTCTAATTAGTTAATGTCAGGATTGAAGTGACATGTTGGATGCCCAGTTGGCATTAGAGAATTGGTGTCAGGGGAAAAGGCATTATACATTCATTGTCAGAAAACACACAATTGTATACATTTCCCTGCGGTCAGATCACAAGCTCCTCAAAAACAAGTGTATCCCATACTTTGTAGCACCTAGCCTGGTGATTTATGCATAGTAGATGCTAAACTAAGAACAGTAAATTTTGTCTAAATGAAAGTGGTGTCTGTAATTAACATTATGCCCTTGTAGACAGATGTTTCATCAAGAACTAGAAGTAGAGTTTTTTATACGCAAGAGCATTTTTTTATTTTAAAAAATTATAAATTAAGATTTGGGCCAAAACAGGTTTGGCTCAGTGGATAGAGCGTCGGCTTGTGGACTGAAAGGTCCCAGGTTCGATTCCGGTCAAGGGCGTGTACCTGGGTTCCGGGCACATCCCCAGTAGGAGATGTGCAGGAGGCAGCTTATTGATGTTTCTCTCTCATCAATGTTTCTAACTCTATCCCTCTCCCTTCCTCTCTGTAAAAAATCAATAAAATATATTTTAAAAAAAGATTTGGAACATATAGTGATGGTGAGATGGGGTTTCTTTCTTTTTTCGTTTTTTTTTACATAATTCAGTGATTTTTGTATATTCACAGAATTATGCAACCAATACCCCAGTTATGCCAGAAAGAAGCCCCATAACCACCCATACCATTAGCCATCACTCCCCATTTTCCTCTAGTCCACCCAGCACTAGGCAACCACCAATCTACTTTGTCTATGGATTTGCCTATTCTGAACATTTAATATACATAAAATCACAATGTGTGACTGGTTTTTTTATATGTGTTTTTTTGTTTGTTTTAATCAGGAAGGGAGAGGGAGACAGAGAGATAGAAACATCAGTGATGAGAGAATCATTGATCAGCTGCCTCCTGCACACACCCCCAACGGGGATCAAGCCCACAGCCTGGGCATGTGCCCTTGACTGGAATCAAACTTGGGACCTTTCAGTCCACAGGCCGACGCTCTATCCACTGAGCCAAACTGGCTGGGTCATGACTGGGTTTTTTTATTGTCAAATAATATTTTATTGTATAGATATATCATTTTATTCATTAGTCTGTGAACATTTGTGTTTTTACTTTATTTCATTGCCTACTGGGGATTGAGCCTGCAACCGAGGGTCAACCCAGAATCAATTTCTAGTGCACTTCCCAGTGCACAGGATTATACTCAACCTATTGGGCCACACCAGCCAGGGCTTTTTACTATGATGAATGATGTCTGACTGAAGGACTCAAGAAGGTTGATTATCAAAACATTCAGTAACCGTACTTAAGTTTTGTGGGAATGTCCTAATCCAGGGGGTTGGCCTGTGGGTCAGCTGGTGCTTTCATTGGAACACAGACGTACCCGTTCATGTGCAGATTGTCTAGGCGCTGTCATCCAAGAACTGCAGAGTTGAATAGTTGCAATAGAGACTACATGACCCATAACCCTTTACCCGACCTAATCCATTTTTGAAACCTTAACTGTAAGAACTTGTGTTCATGTTTACTAAATACCCTTTTCTCTTTTTCTTGTTTTTTGGATAGGCAGAGAATATTTATAATGATGAAGACCCTGAAGGAAGTGTGGATCCAGAAGGACAGGGGTCCTAGATTCATCTGCACTTGTAATTTTTAGACTGCCTGCCCTTTTCCTCTCAACCCTGATAGTGATTTAACACTGGTTCTGAGACACAGACTTTGTTCAGCTATCCCTCTAAATAGGTACCATCAACAATGTTATTAACCCAATCCAAGGGTGTTTTCTAAATATTAACTGAGGGGCTTGATTCAGCAAAGCCACAGACTTAATATTTAAATTTTTTTCAGGAATTTTCTAGTATCAAAGATCTAAAGTAGCCACTGAAAGGGGAATATTGTGTGTGGTTATTTTATTTTTCTCTGTATGCCATATCCCCACATTTTTCAGGCTCATTTAAGTAAAGGCTAGAAGTAAATAAGGAATAGAGCCAAGAGAGGTAGGTGTGTGAGCCATGAAGTGTAAGTACTGCAAGATGTTTTTATTCAGGAATTAGGGGAGATTTGAGTCATAATTCCTACTCTAAAATCTTCACACCTGACTTTCCAGGATGCACATTTCCTACATAGACTAGTCTCCTCTCCGTTTCTTAAGTCAAAAGTATGTGTTCCTGTTTTCCATATATTTTTGCTTGTTAGTGTATTTCTTGAGCTGATTTCATATTATTTCTTTCCTTTCTGTGAAATGGTTTTTTTTAAAAAAACTTGGGACCACCAAGTTGTAAAGATGTATGTTTTTACCTGACAGTTATACCACAGGTAAGCTGTCCAGCTAAGTTGAGAAGAGTGAATCTATAGCTTGTATTTGTTTTTAAAATTAAATTAATCCTGGATAAGAGTTGCTTTTTTTTTTAGGAGTTAGTCCTTGACCACTAGTTTGATACCATCTCTGTTTTGGGTGACCTGTTTCACTAACAGGCCTGTTACTCTCTATGACTAACTGTGTAAGTGCTTATAATGAAATAAATTGCTTTTCTACATAACCCAATGCTGATGGGCTTTATTTAGTATGTAATATAATATCTATCAAACACCAGTCTCTGGCTTCTAGAAGAATTCTTCAGATGACAGTTATTTTCTGTGGTCTTTGACTACCAAGAGCAGAATTAATTATAATAGACCCAGAGCTATAGAAAACAGTTTTACTCCTTCACAGGGAAAGTGAAAGACATAAAACATTGAATCATAGGTGTACAGATTAGTCTTCGATAAAATAACATCTTTTTGAAGTCTATTCATAGAGAACTACATGGACTTTCAAGCATGTCAAAGGCAGTGTGGCAGAAAGATTTTAAGGCAAAATTTAAATTTGGAAAAGGTGTTTGAACCTTTTCTCTTATAGAGGTTGAATCTCCCCAGTATGTTTTTCACTGGGACCTGTTCTTAGAAGTGAGAAATAAAGGCTGAAAGCCACGTACCATAACCAGATAAAATGCCTGGTTCTTTGCAATCACTCAGTTTAACTGAGTAGATTACTCACCAAAAATCATTTTCATGAGGCATGATCTTTAGGGAAATCTGAATATCCTTAACCTTTAGATTCAAATTTAGTTCCTTTTTTCTGGAACTAAGTTCTTTTAGAGTATAGTGAAAATTATCTTGACACAAGAGTAAACTATGCGTCAGCATAAAAAGTAAACTTTGTAAAAGGATTCATTAAAAGTCCAACACTCATGGCACAAAAGAATTCAAATTATAAACCCATATAATGAAAATTGGCTGCCTTTTGACCCCACCTGTGCTCAAAAAAAAATGTTTTTGGTTTAGGTCAACAACAAGGCAAGTTTCATTCTGCACAAGGCTGCAGGGGTGCATATATTCATCCTTTGCTGCTGGTGGGCAGGAGGGACAGGAGGCTCTTTTTTTTTTTTTTTTTTTTTTTGGCTGTTCCTTCGTGCATTGAAATCATTACCAGTAGCCTGTGAAATAGAATCCAGCTAAGAGCTGACTGGTGCGTTCTGCCTCCAGCCAGCCTAGAATCTTTTTAAACAGGTCAGCCAGTATTTGTATCTTCCCCAGGGTGAATTGCTTGCCAAGTCCCTGGCACTCTTCTGTGTTTGGAAAAGGGTACTTAAGTGATCCTTTGTTAAGAAGCTTTTTTGGTTGTTTCTGGGTTACAGATTCGGCCATACATTTCTAAACAGCTCCTGTAAGATTGAAAGAAAAAAAGAATAAATTTATTATTTCTGCAACTTTAAATAATCCTATATAATAAAAGGTTAACGTGTAAATCGACCGAACTGTGGAATGAGCGATCGCCCTGATGTGTACTGACCACCAGGGGGTAGACACTCAACGCAGGAGCTGCCCCCTGGTGGTCAGTGTGCTCCCCCTAACACTGCTCAGCCAGAAGCTGGGCTCGGGCTGGCAAGCGCAGTGGCGGTGGCAGGAGCCTCTCCCACCTCCAAGGCAGTGCTAAGGCTGTCCAACTGCCGGCTCCCAGACTGCGAGAGGGTGCAGGCCAGGCAGAGAGACCCCCTCCCTAACCCTCCCCCTCAGTGCATGAATTTTGTGCACCAGGTCTCTAGTACAGTTTAAAGTTTATGACTGAATTTAGGAAATTTATTGTAGGTTTTGTTGGCAGAGATTGCTAGACTGTGACTCACATATGATCAGGGTTGACTTTCCCCTATGAAATATTTGGGTGATTCTTATTTGCAAAGTAATGAATGTGTAATGGTGATGGGAGGGGCTAGCTAAAATTTTTCTCTGTCCAGGTTAAATTTACACAGGTATTGCCTGAAATTCTGTAGTTTTGTTTCTTTGAATTAATTGTTGCTTTTTCCCTATTGTACTTTTAATCTGATCCACACAAAGGTGTTTAGCAGATCATTTTCCTCAATTACATGGTTCTAGTAATCTCCCAAACAATAAGCGCAGTCTGTTATGCCTGGAAAAAACACAGTAAAAGAAAGTCCTAGTGAGTTAGGAAAAGCATTAGTTACAGTAGTCATTTGTGAGTTTGTATCCAAGCTGTAAGATGAACTAGGAAATTGAGAATAAAATTTTTGGGCATCTAACTAGTATATACTTGACAGACCTTTTTTATTCTTAGTCTCTTTATCCAAGAGAATCTAAAATGTGAAAAATGAGAACATACTGGTATATAGAGAAATTAATGGATAGGTGTGTCGCTTGTTTCACATACTAAGCAATAATCCTGTTCCTCCGCTTATAAACAACACCCTCTTCAGCTTTTCTATACAGACAAATTTTGCTGCCTTGGCCTCTTTGTCATAGTTTGAATTTAGGTAGCATAACTACCTTCTGCTATTCTAAGGAAACTATTTATGAATAGCAGGTGGGGTAAGGTGGGAGAATGCAGAGCTTAGATATTTTATCCTGTTACAGAATTCCTGGTGATAATTAGGGCATATTTTTTTAGTTCTATCAGAAACAAGCATTCCAAATGAACCCTGAATGCTTGAACCAGGCAATTTGGCGGTATGTGTTATCCCTACATGATTTGTCATTAGACACACACTTAAGTTCTTTTAAGATATTAGTTCTGTTAAGAAAGTAAAATGCAAACTCCACTCTTGTACCCACAAGGATCACCTTGAGACTGTGTCTCGATTCCACCTGCCTGAGAAGTGGGAGTATTAGCCTGTTCCGGGCTCTTGGGTAGCATAGCCCTTAAAAAAAAGAGAGAGCCATTTTCCATCTGAAAAAATTTTCCCAGTTTTCATTTGTCTCCCACTGTTGAGTGAAATTTCCCTTGAGGAACATCTGCCCTCCCCACCATCCATCTCGCCAGCCAATGTTAGTTGAGATTTGGGTAAACAGCAAAAACTGACTTATAAGTTGAAAGCTCTTCAGTAAGGCTGATCCTTAGCTGCTCCATCTCTTTGTTCTTCTGTTCCTGGAGTTGCACTCCATTTCTTAATTGTGCCTGTTGTTCTTCCATTTTCTCCAGCTGTTCCTGCATAAGAGGGCCAAGAACATACCTGATGAGCTGAACAATAAAAATCTTACATTGTCCATTATAGTTTACAAAGCACTTTCTTGTATATTGTTTAATCTTCATAGATGTATTAAGGTTGAAACAGATTTGTTTTGACAAAGTGCTACTCCATTTGAAGATGGTGAAGAAAGGAGTCTTGTCCTTCAACCACAGCTTACTTAATGTAATCCTGCAACGGCAGTACTCAGAGGGATTTTAGTTTCACAATGTTAAGTGTTGGGGAGGATTTTTGTCCTCTTTTTGGTGAGCTGAGAATTTTATACATCTCTTGCTTACTCTATGAGCAAGTTTGTTTCCTTTAAGACTGAATTTGTTAAAAAATGTTAAGTTGGAAAAAGATGCTAGCCCTAGCAGGTTTGACTCAGTGGATATAGCGTCGTCGGCCTGGGGACAAGGGTCCCAAGTTCGATTTCAGTCAAGGGCATATGCCCAGGTTGTGGGCTGGATCCCCAGTAGGGGATGTGCAGGAGGCAGCCAATTAATGATACTCTGTCATCGTTGATGTTTCTTTCCATATCTGAAACCAATAAAAGTACATATTTTTAAAAAGAATAATAGAATTTCTTTAAAAACGAAAAGATGCTATGCCCTGTGGGCCCTCTCGAGCTTTCAGATAACTTTCCCATTCTGCCAACAGGCAGGATGCATTCTGTAAATTGTCTCTGCTGAGGCTTAATGCCTGAGGAATGAGGTAAGGAAGGTGTCTGCAAACCAGTCTGGTGTTTGTTCCTAGCTGGCATGGATCCTTAGGAAGTGTGAGGGAGTTGGGAAAGCATTAAAGTTTGAAGGCATATTTTTGAAGAATAGTAAGATAGGAATCCAGCCCTAGCTGGTTTGGCTTAGTGGATAGAGCTGCGGACGGAAGGGTCCCAGGTTCAATTCTGATCAAGGGCACATGGCCTGGGTTGCAGGCTCAATCGCCAGTAGGGGGCGTGCAGGAGGCAGCCAATTGATTCTCATTGATGTTTCTATCCCCCTCTGAAATCAATAAAAATCCATTTTAAAAAG